TTATTACAGGACAAGCAAGTTCCTGCACAAGGCACACAAATAATATTATCTGCTGGAAGCATATTCTCACACTCTTACAGTGAAATGCACGACCCCTAGAGGAGAGAGTACGCCATTGTTGGCTTCAGAGTACATTTTGCTGATAGAAGGAGAAATTGTTGTCTGTTTCCCCCCACCTCATCCCACTAACTTATAATGCAAAAGCACCAAAGTAATGTAGAAACTAATAAAAAAAAAACAAAAAAAGAAGACACAAAGAACTTTTCTCAGGAATATTTTGCACAGAAATATTAAGCAAAAATATGATTTCAGCTGAGGACAACACTCTCTTTTGTGTATTATATACCAGGGTATATAAAGAGTAGAAGAATATACATGTATTAACCTTCTTAAATAAATAAAAAATGCACTGCCAGGTCTGTGTTCTTTCAAAGCAGATTATTTGTTTTATGACAATGAAGAAAATTGTATTCCCTCTGATGCTATCTTCTACATGGAATGGTCCTGGTTTTGAAAACCATCTAATTAAGTTAGTCTTAGGACAGACATGTCAAACTCACGACGTCACGTGATGTTGCGTGACATATTGGAACTTTTTCCCCATTGCCGGCAATGGGGTGGGTGTGGTTTCGTCGTAAACACATCCGGCCCGCGGGTGGGCAGTTTGACACCCCTGTCTTAGGAGGTTACTTAAATTAATCAGAAAGAAGGAAAGATCCTCAAATGTATTTTACAAGAATAAAAGCAATGTTTATGATTCTTTTATGCTTGGGGAGAAAGGAGGCATATCCCTCAGAATAATGTCAGCATTTTCTTTTCATTGAAGTAATTTTCTAAAAGACAGAACTAAATAAGCCAGATGGAATTCAGCAGAAAAGGCATCCCAGAGTACATACAGCATGAAGGAGAGTGCTTGGGATCTCATCTACTTGATGAATCACAGAGGGCAGGGTCACGTAAAGCAGGCTGGCCAGGTCTGATGATCGTAATTGTAATGCAAGAAAAATAATATTTACAACAGAGATCTACTATATACTCTATTATTATTGCATTTAATTTGCTTGTTTATTGATTTTATAGCATTAATGGATCCTACTTCCACCCCAGATCTTGTCAGCTGCAAAACAAGTAGCAAATATAATGCAATAAAATATCACAAATAAACCAGAAGCATAAAATAGCGGAGCAAATCCAATTTTGTCAGCACTGCATATGGCAAGGCCCACATTTCTCAACTCTATATTAAAACTTTGCAGAGCAAGTTTTCACAGAATATGATGTCCTTTGCGAAGGTACAGTTTGTACAATGTCTCAATCTCAGGGAGTTGCTGTCTTTCCCAAAAGCAGAAGAAAAGTTCATTGTATGCTGTATCCATTGGAATCCAGAAATTTCAGTTTAGTTCTCACCAATGCTTTTGGCTCATCAAAGTTCCTTGGTAGTTGACCATGTTTCTGTATTCATAACACATGTGTGGCTCATGGTTTTTAATCAGGCGTAAGCACACACACAATCCCATGATGGAAAATGAACTTTATAGGCCCAGGAAAACAGAGGTCTTTACTCTGTCAAGTAAATATACCTGTTTCTTCACAGAAGAATTCTAATGCTAGCAAGATGCAGTGTCCTACTCTTGGTGTTAGTAAAGGAATCTTTTTTACATGGAACATTTCTATATTTGCCCAGAGGTCAAATATAGAAATACAGTCCATTACTTATTTTTTACTCCATTGTTCCTTCTATTGTACTTGCTACTTACTGTGCTGATTGATTAGAAATTGAAGTTGTCCATTTATAACTTTCAGACTCTTAAAAGGACATATGGAGAAAGGTAGCAAAATTTTGTTTAATTGCTATTGTCATTATGAAGTTATTTCAATTGAAATATTAAAAATAACCAATTCCACTTGTTATTTATTTATTTATTTTTATTAAAAGTTTTACAATTTTACAATAATATCCCTTACCCACTACCTCCCAGCCCTCCCAAAAACCCTCCCCCCCTCTTCCCAGAGCTGAATACAGGGTTAACAAGAACTAAAAATACAAAACATTTAAACTTAAGTAAACCTAAAACAAAAATTACATTAATAAAAAAAAATCCAATATATATATATATATATATATATATATAATAAAAAAATCCAATATATATATATATATAATAAAAAATACTTATTGTCTTAAACTTTAAACTTTAAACATAAATTATTCAAAAGCTAAATAATATCTTTTAATATCATACTTATTCCACTTGTTATTTATTATTGTATATTGCATTGATATGTTTAGTATGGGCTGGGAACAAATTAGTAAAATAAATAAGATGGAAATAAAAATGGATGCTCTATGATTTTAGCTTCACTGGACACTCAATAGGAACATTTAGTGACTAAACCATTTCCTTCCATTCTTTCTTTCCTTCCTTTCCTCCTTTCCTTGATCCCAAAATCATGGCTACCCTCTTGATAAAGATACATTGAGAAAAGATTTATACAGGCTATTTAGATTTTTAAAAAGTACACTTATTCCTACTCTTTGATATCTTCTAACACGACTTAAAATTGACAAAGTGCTTTGCAAATTAAGAGGGTAGAGCTATGTAAATAGGTTTTAGTATTTCTCAAATGAGAGCTGAAGAAGCTTCTTGGATGAAAAGTGAATCTCTTCAAAGAAAAAAAAGGAAGTCCAGTTGCCGCTTGAAAAAAGCACCTTTGGATTCTCACATTGGACACTATAACCAGTGTAAATAGTCATGATCTGGAATATCCAAGAGTCTTTTCCCCCCCTCTAAATCATTTAGGATGGGGAACAATTTTTAACCTCCACTTAGGTCTTTCTCTACAAATTTTGGCAATATATTGGTCTTTCTGTATATTTGTCCTGCTTGTTACAATGACCATGATTTTACTGATCCTAAGTGCTAGTATTGAAGCTCTTTCTCTCTGTAATAGCATCCCAAGAAATTGAGTCTAATAGGGCTACACCCAAAAGAACAACTCTGAATCTCATTGTCAGCAGTTGGTACTACATTCTGTGCAATGAAATTAATGGGAAAATTGTAGAATTCTTTCGAGGGAGGGAAAATTATTATGTTAGTGGAAAATGCACAGATTTGGATTACAGATGCAGAGATTTTAAAGGGAAAAGGACCCTGATTGTCATACTATTATTGCATTTAGTGCCTCTCCTCCCCTATATCTTTGTACTTTAAAGTTTTTTTCTGTAATAAATTGAAATATGGCATGCTAAAACTACACAACATTTAACAGACAAAGGAAGTTAAAAAGAAATGAATGAGTTTGAAGTGGCCATATCCATTATTGATAAACTTTTTAAAGAAAATAATTTTTTTAGATAAACTCCTAACTCCTTTTTTTGATTGAGATGAGGCTAACAAAACTCAGAAAATATTAAGATAGGAATTAAAAATTGTATTTTGCACATGGGTCCTTTTTTTGGCAGTACCTATGAATAATGGCTGATCTTGAAAACTAAACAGGGTATGATGCTGGGGGACCCACCAGGATATCTTGAAACTGTAGGTTAGTCTGAGAATTAAGGGGAAAAAACTAAGAAAAAGTGACAAACCATTTTCATACCTGACCATGATGTTACTGGGAATTAAGTATGATTTGAAAAAGAATTCACCATTTTACTCCTTTCTTTCAGGCAGAGCCTGAAAGCAATTGAAAGCAATTTCCCCAAGCCCACAAATGGAATGGATTCTGTCCAAAGTATGGTAAAGTATTTGAATAAGAAGGATCACTGTCATTCAAAGTAATAAAAACAATCAATTAAAGCAAAACCCCAAGGCTTATTTCAATATTTTGGTTCCCTCTTCACATTCCTGCTTATTTGGCCTGTGGATGGGAAAAAACAAAGGATGACTGACATGGATTAAGGTAGCAAACATCCTGCTAACTTCTCAACATGTTTAGCTACCATGAATCTTTCAGCTGGAATGTCCTCTTAGCCTTTATTTAATATTTATTAACTAATTTTATTTAGATTGATGGGTGTATTTTATATCCCAAGTTGCTCAAAACATCATATATAATTTTATCTTTTCCTATTTTCACAACAATCCTGTAAAGCATCTTAGAGAAAAATAATGATTGGCATAGGGCTACCAATAAGTTTTGAGACAAAGAGATATCATTTGTGCATGCATGAAGGGGCTAGAGTCACTTGTTCAATCCTCTTCTGACTGAGTATCTTAACAGTACTAGAAATTAGGCATACTTGTTACTCCTTTTTCCCAATAAACATTTTTCCCTTATGTTCAATTGGTCAGAATGTTTGTGGTTTGAGAGACAGGCATATGAAGGGAGAGACCCAGTTTAATCTGATAAAGTACGTTAAGTCTCTTTATTGTTGTTTTATTCTAGATTCCCTTTCAGTATCACATTGAAATGATCTTCAATTATAATTAAATTATGTTTATTTGAATGTAATTTTCAAGAGGAAACATCTCACAAAGACTCCTGGGAATATGCAATGGTATTTATGCTAGTGAATGCATTTATGTTTAGCATGTTGGTGAATCTGGTGTTTATAGATGTTGAGATACTATTCTGTTTTATAAGTGTTTGGGTAGGTTGATGCATGAGAATGGTTCTATTGTCCAAATCATAGTTTCATAGTGAATATACAGAGCTAACTGCCTTTCAGTCCCTAGGTATCAATAGTTTTAAAATTAATTTTCTGAGAATCCTACAGGGCTACATGTGGCATAAAGCTTCTTGTTTAGAATATACAGCAAAACAGTCATAAGAAAGTATAACAATATATAGATCTAAGAGATGAATAATGGAGGGAAAACTAATATTAGCTTATACCCTATTCAGGTATACCACCCTGGGCTGCATGGGAGAAAAAGAAAATTCATTCCACCCTTTTTATATGGGCTTAGTTTTTTTTAAAAAAGCTATTCTATTGCTTCAGAGAAGAAGGCAATTCACTATAACAAAACCTTTGGAAGGTATGTTGGTGGAGCCAACTGTTATCTGACACTGTCAGATACCTAGAGCCAGGTTTCCACAGCTACACTGAGAAGCCTTCACTAACAGATTTTATCCTGATGCAAGAGAAGTCCAAAATAATCTGAGATCCACAGGTCACCTTTCCAAAGACTCTAGCTCTGTAAGTTTTGTTTTTTTAACTAACTAACTAACTAACTAACTAACTAACTAACTAACTAACTAACTAACTAACTTAGGAAGGAAGGAAGGAAGGAAATAGCCATGGTGCAAATAATTGAAGATCAATTTAAAAATTGTAAAATAGTATTTTTGAAGCATTTAATCTAGAATGAATGACAAGGCTGCCTTTGAAATAAATTATAAGTCAATGCTCAGTTTAAATGTGCTCTTCTCTTTCCTGTTTTTTTATTCTCTTACTTTAACAGATGAAGTCAGACTGGGTGTTTCTTGTGTTTCTTTAAATACCAAGAAGACAACAAAAGATATTTAAAACAACACTCACTAATGTAGTTGATAGTTGTGGGAGGGAAATGTACCAAAATTTGCCCTTTTCTAGAATGTATCAGTCCTTACACCTTCTTGGAATATACAAAGGGCAAAATAATAATGGGGGAAAGCCATAAAAGAGAAAGAGAGAGAAAAATTCTAGATAACAGTATATCCTTTTTCTGTTTCACTCTGTTTTTTGAACATGCTTTCCCAAAGTTTGAAAGCATGTGTAAAAGACTGAAAAATGTGCATCTGAGATATCTAGTTTGTGGGGTTTTTTTTTTTTTTGAACAACAAAGCAACATTCTTCCCTCCCCCTCCCTTCTTGCTCTGAGAGAGAGAGAGAGAGAGAGTTTTGAGAATTTTACTTTTCTATTCACTGTAGTCCTGGCCAAAGTAAAGCCCTCTTTTACATTGACGTCAAGATCTTTACTAAGATTAGGGTTTCATTTCTCTATTGCAGCAATTAGCCAGGGAATGTATAAAAGGCTTGAGGGAACCAAGCGAGGACTCCAGAGGAAAAGCACTTTGTACCACAGGCAGATAGTGAGAGGCAGAGAGAGACGAAAGAGTGGCAGGGAGAGAGGCTGAGCAGAGCCAGCCCAGCCAGCGAGGGAAAAGCAGAAAGTTTGTGTGCAAAGACTTTCCTCCAGAGCCCTCCCTTGACAGAAAAAAAGCATTATTTCACCTGATAGCTCCAGTAATAAAAGAATGAGAAAACTACTGAAATAGGAGGAAAATTAGAGGAAAGTTAGCCTATTTCGTTTCAATTTTAGAATTATAGGCAATTGGCAGCCCGGCTGTCTCTCTCTCTCTCTCTCTCTCTCTCTCTCTCTCTCTCTCTCTTTGTATTTAGGGGACTGCAAAGGGCTTTTGGCTAAGTAAAAACAACAGTAGTTTGAGTTAGAGTTTCTGAAAAATTAAAAGCAGCTCAGTGTGGAAAAACGTTCATGTTGGCGTGGTGCTTTCCTTTTTTTTCTTCTTTTAAGCGGCTCTACTGAAGTGAGAACTGAGCCAACTTTGAAAGAGAGCTAACAGAGCACTATGAATTTTTAAAAAGCCCTTTATATTTTATTATTTTTATTGCTGTTTTTCATGAGGGCGCACAGAGTATGAAGAGGGAAGTCAGAGGAATCCTTTGAAGAAGAAGAAGGGCAAGCAAGATGGGTCTGTTAAGCATTGACCTGTTGATCACACTTCAGATCCTGCCGGTTTTTTTCTCCAACTGCCTTTTTCTCGCCCTCTATGACTCGGTGGTCCTCTTGAAGCACATGGTGCTTCTTCTGAGTTGCTCCAAGGCTGCACGTGGTGAATGGCGAAGGATGCTCACATCAGAGGGCTTGCGCTGCGTCTGGAATAGCTTTCTTCTAGATGCCTACAAGCAGGTAGGTTTGTGGACAGGCATGGGCTGAAGAAGACCAAACATCTGAAGAGCAAAGAGGAAGAGGTATTAAGAAAGCATGTGTGTGAAATTGATATAATGTTTACTAGATGAACACAAGAACTGTAAATATTACTAGCCTAGCAATTTAGTGCAGAATATACTAAGTTACCATCTAATTTTGGGCTCATTTGTTTCAGTATTTTTTTATTAAGAGATATTACATTCACATTCTAATTTAATTGCTTGGGTCTAACTATTCTGTTTTTAAAACCTTTTCTATAGTGCCCACTTCCTGTCTAGTTAATAGCACTATGTTAAGATTTAAGCAGAGATTGAACTGTTTGCACTATTGCCCTTATTGGTGATTTTTCTTTGTGCCCTCCAAACATTTTTTTTAGTGCATATAAACACACACACATACAGACTGGCAAATTCTCATGTCTTTCCTTTGTGAAAATAATGGTAAAGTTAGGTGAGTCCAAAGATACGTAGAACTTCAGACTTAATAGACAAACAAATTATCCCAATTTCTCATACAGCCAGCTATTAAACTTAATCAACCCTGAGAATATATTTATTGTTACTATTTAAAATGCTAAGTAGAATTAATAGGAAATTAAACCTCTTCATCTCACTATTTCCATCCACAAAATGGAAGTAGCCGTATACTACTTTTCTGGCCCAATTTCCATTTTACAGATGGAATCAGTGAGGTAGGGAGGATAATTGTCAGTTATGGAACTAATACATATATCAATTGCAAGGATATATGTATTAGTGCAGGCTGTCCTTGCATTTTGCAAGAGGAGCATAAAAAAATTCAGAAGACTGTATACAAGGGTTTTCAATACTTGTGGTTAATAAACTGATTGGCTGATTCCCCCCTAAAAAACATCACTGGGGGGAAACGTGTCATACTGGCATCATTTTACCTTGGTATTTCCCCAGTTGCTGACAAAGCAGAAAACTTAAATTCCTAGAAATTGACTTTCTGAAAAAGAAAAAATCTGAAAGAATAATAATAGCTAGCATGAACATTCCATACAAAATTTGAATATAAAATTCAAATAAGCCTTTGTTGTGTTACTTGAAACAGATAAATCTAACTTTTTCATTACCTTAGATAGGGAGACACTTGCTTTTTGTTGGTATCAAAGGTGCTTTCTATTTTTGCCAAAAAAGCTATTAAGCAGATTTTCCCATTTTAGCCTTTTTCTGTGGTATACGTATACTTGTGAGGGACGTCTTGCACCATGGAGAGCTCCCATGGTAGTATCATCACAAGTAAATTGGAGTCTTAGGTACCCAGGGATAACTCTCTTCATATGTTTTCCCTTAATAAGTAGAATTATTCCTGAATAAAATAACTCTCACAATTTTCAATAAAGATACACAAAACATTTTAAACTATACTTAATACTTTTCTGCTTCTGGGTAATCCTGTGGCAGGAAATATATTTTGCTAGAACGTTATTGGTATCTTGAAGTTTTGGAATATACATATTGAAACTCTTTCACTGCAGAATTTATACAGAAGTATAAACTAGTGTAGACATTCTACAAGGCAATACGTATAGGCAGACCTATATACTACTATATACAGTAGTGAACATTGTGTCCAGATTTCAGCTAGTTGCTTTGTATAACTTTCCAAGAAAAAAAAGGCTTGAGACATTAATATTTGGTGGATTCACTAGGTTGATTATTTTTTCTCTAACAGACAGAAAGTATTGGTGTTAAAAAATGTCCCAGAGAATCAGATTTTATGAGTATTTAAATTGCAAACATATGGATATATTTGGAGATGTTTTAATATCTTGACCAATATTAAAATTTGTCTGGAGTAGTAAAAAAAAAACCCCTCAGAAAGACAGTATTTGTCTTCTTTGAAGAGGTACATATCCCAACACTTTCTGAAGTAGTATAAATTCTGACTGTTTTGAACTGTGCACTTCTTCCAATGCAGTTTGCAAGAACTGCAGCCTAGGTTTCTTGAATACTAATAGCTCCAGTAGACAAGCAAACAAGCAAATATTTTCCCTCAGGCAAATAATAGCATCTTCGCCATTATGTTATTAAAATTCTTCTGTTTAGTTCTTCAGTGTTTCTGCTCCTACTCTGTAATATATTAATAAACACCTGTTGGTCAATCCATTCTTTGAAGCGCTTTTTGCATGTGAAATTTTCAGGCATTCTACCAAAAAACAATTACACAAACAATATTTTGATTAGTACCCAACTTTGATACATAGATGAACATATAAAAATTATTTTATTGAAAACTTGCATATTCAATTTCTTCTATTTTATTACACACACACACACACACACACACACACACAATGGCTATTTCTGCAGCAGACACAAAAAATATCACAGAAGTACTGGAGCTGAGATTTCTTTGAAGGTCATACTATTCTGCAAGATGCTTATGGTCTATACTAGACAAGATGAGCAAAGTTCAATTTAATAACTCCCAGGGATGTTTGTATAAAAAGAACATACATCTTACAATGGGATGGCTGTATTTTCCACATAGCCTAGATCACTGGTGGCGAATCTATGGCACGTGTGCCAGAGGCGGCACTCGGAGCCTTCTCTGTGGGCACGTGTGCCATTGCCCCAGACCCGCCTCTCCCTGCAGCCCCCTCCTCACCAGTAGCCCCTCTGGAGGAGAGTCACCCCCGGGCGTGGCCTGCACAGAGTAGTGCAGCCAAGGAAATAGCCAGGCATCAGGAACAAGACTCCGCCCTCACGCTCCAGTGTGCAGATGATGCTGCGGAGTGTGGGCAGAGGGCATGGCTGCCATGATGCTGCAGGGATGCCTGGGTTATCTGCTGCGGCAGACCATGGAGATGGTGCGTGGCCCTGCAGGTGGGCGGGGCAGGGGATGGGCAGGAGCGGAGCAGGCAGGACGGGAGGCGGAGCAGGGGCAGAGGGCGGGTTTTGGGCACTTGGTCTCTTAAAAGTTCACCATCACTGGCCTAGATCAATAAGGAGAAAAAAGGATGATGTACTTATCTGCCTGAGTCTCATTTTCATAAAATGTTCTCCATTTTCTACTCAACTGCACCACTAATGTGTTTGAGCAAAGCCCAGCTAATCTATTCCACAGTCACCAGTCAGACTATTCAGTTGCCTGTCAGAAAAAAAAAATGCTTTGTTTCCACCATTAATGGCAGCAGAAAACCAAGGATCTGTTTGCAGATAGTCAATAGATCATGCCAAATAGCTGGCCAGTGGAAGTAGTCAATGATATTTCTTCTGGCTCTGCAGAATTTTTGCATTTGACAGTTTCTTGCAGCCAGGTTGCTCCAGTCTAATAAAATATGCAACAATCTATGGCAAAAATACTATGAATTGGTTATTTGGTGAACCAAATGGGATCATTTCCTTATTAAAAGGCCAGGTACCCAATCTTGAAATATTCTTAGATCTGAAATGGAAATGGTGAAAATTTTCTGTTAGACTAAAGTAACTTGACAATTGCTATCCTAGCTATAGAAAGCTGATCTAACTATAGTGACACATGTATTTGTAATGTCTACATAAGATTACTGTAATATGATACATAATGAATTGTTCTTAATGTTAGTTTACAATTACAATTGGTAGGAAGAATGCGGTTGCTAGTTACAGATTTCATTATATCTATTCAACACTGGTTATATTGGAGACCTGTTTGCCTCCAGGTCTTTTGCAAAACACTGGTTTTCTTTAAAAAAATATTTCAGACCATGTAAATTGAAAGACAGACTATATTTATTTCAACCCCTAGCAGCATTAAAATCAGTATTGATTATTATATTCTGATCCATCATAAAATCCCTTTAGGTGATAGACATCCAAGACAAGGCTTCCTCTATGGTGGCCCTATACTTTAGGAAGTCTTTTCCTATCACTGCAGTCTTTAAATAAATGATTTTTCTGTTCTGCATTTTAGACTTAATAACATAATGCTTAGCTACTGTTATATTTTATTCATTTGTTTATATCACCTTGTTAACTCCCTTGTGAGAGCAGGGTGCCAAGAAAGAAAGGCTAAAAGCTTTAAAATAAATCAATACTTTACACATCTCATTTTGCACTAGAGCATCCTAGATTATATATGAATATGATTTAGAATAGTGCAGTAAAATAACTAAAAGCAACTGAGTGGATGTTCAGACTGTATTGAGAGATTGGTAATTAACATTGCACTAACACCTGTTCTGAGTTGAGCACTGGTCTCTTCCTTTCTCTTCAGCAGGCTATCTCTGCAAGGAGCAGAAATGAGGAACTTAGTTGTGTTGCTAGAAAGTTGGCATAGTGGACAAACTATGTTAGGAGCCATATTGAATTTAAAATTCAAAGTAAAATAAGCCTATTTACTGGCCAATACAATATGGAGCAATTTGTTGTTGAAACTGCTGGATTCTGTTTCATTAGATAAAGTTATTGATGATTCCCTTCTATTTGCTCATTTTTCCTCTTCAGGTACCCAGCTTTAGTAAGTATTTTCCACATTGAACTTTGTTGAACTTTGCTTTTCAATTTGAACACCTGCCAAGTCAGTGGGTTTTTGTTTTGTAGTGTTCCCTCCTTATCATTTGAAAAGCAGACCTAGTAGCATAGAGAGGGTTTTTAAATAATGTTAATTATCATAATGAGGGTTAATAGAGTTTTTAGGGTTTATAACACTAGGTCACTACACATTTTAGAAGACAAGGTCAAAGAAAGGGCTCATTTCTGAGGGCACTTCATATACTTGCTCTGAAAGGTACTAAACTATTGAAGGGTGCTATTAGAATGGAAAAGGAAGCTGAATTTTATCTTATATTATGAAAACATAATGCTTCTCCCCAGCTATTGTATATGTGCAAAATATGCACATGTCATCATTTCTATAAGTCATCCAATACAGAATTAATGCCACCATGTTTGATCTATATCTATATATGTGTAGAAATTATACAAACAATATTCAAGTCATTACTGGTCTTTTGTGGGAGCTGTAGATGG